TAGCAGATATAGTATGATAAAACAAAACATGTCATATTACTTTTTATTAAACCAGATACTGTAATTAATACTTTTGAATTTTGATATTGACTACGTATATAGATGTTTGTAGTGGATATGTTGGATTTGAAATAAATCTTTCTACCTTAAACAATTTTATATAGAAAATGAGAAAATCCTTCTACATTAAACTATTTATAAACAATTCTACAAATAGACATCTTCTATGAAATTGTTAAGTGTTAATATTCTGAATCGAAAACGATAATAACAACTGTGAAATGGTCATATGCAAAGTGAGAATATACAAATAGACATTCATGATTTCAATGCTTAAAGCATCACCATCCGCTCCACATTTACCTTTAAAAAATGTCTTTAATATTTTTTTTTTATTTAAACGTATTTATATGTATTATTAAAAATATTAATAATAACGAATTTAAAAAACAGTATACTTATTTATATTTTTAATAATAATAATAATAATAATAATAATAATAATAAGGTTTTTGTTTGTAGAAAAAGTTCTAATATTTTTTTGTAGAAAAGTCTGAATGATTTGAGTCATTTTACGAAATAATCCCAAATTAATTAGTTACCGGTTTCAACCGGTCAAAAAGGGTCAAAATGCAAACTTTTGCCGGTTTTTAAGACTTTTTCGTAAACAAAAATTAATTTCGGACTAAAACGTAAACTAGACCAAAATGTGGGACTTTATTGGAGGTTTCCCTTATATTATTAGGAATAATATAAAATGAATTACATTTAAGTACTGAAAATGTAATTAAAAAAAACTCAACTTCATATATTTTTGACAAAATTACAAAAATGTCCCTGTGGTTGGTAAAATTCTGTGGTTTTGGTCTAAAAGTTGTGGCGGTGCACCAATGGTCTAAAATTGGATCTTTTTATTGGTTTTGGTTCCTATTAACTTAAAAAGACTATTATGCCCTTATAATTTGTTTTTTCATTTTAATTATCTATTTTTAATAATTTAAAAAAAATCCACCATACTAAATTTCCTTCCCCGTTCAGACCCCTACTTCATCCCCAAATTACAAGAAACTTGGTTGTCGTCTATAACCTTGATCGAAAACTGTAAGGGTCGAATTGTTGTAATTAGTCGAAGTATGTTTTGGACTCTTCAGATGTTTTGTAATGTATTTTACTAGGGCGCTTTTATTCGAAACTTAAGTGTCTATGCCTTAGTATATTTTTTGTACGCTTTCAGTTTCCTATAAATAAGGTTATTTACTAGAGTTAGATGAGAACTTTTACAGACTTGTCTATTGTACTCTGTAAAGAATTCGAAAGCGTAATAGAGCATAACAAGATCATATTTACATCCTGTGTTCAAATCTCACATTCTTACCTGAATTCATACTCTGATTAATTCATTACTCGATTCATTGATTCATCAATTGGTATCAGAGCAGGAATCATATCTCTGATCTGATTTTCACGCTGTTCAAAAGGTTTTTGAATCAACTTTTTGATTCAAAAGTTTCCGCACTTTTTGAAAGTGAAAAATTTGTCTAGATCTTAGTCTGTGATTCGATTCTGCATTTGAATTGTTGAATCGAGTGTTATTCTCATCATTTCAATTTGAATCATCTAGTTTGTTTTCAAATTCTCAAATCTTTTCAAACTTCTCAAGATCATCTTCCG